CATAAGCCTGAAATAACATCTAAGGCCGCAAAATACTCCTCCCCCTCTCCCAGATCCTCTGCAGCTAATGAGGAGAAAAGATAGTCTAGGCCATGTGCCTCTTAACCCCCTGGGCCTTGGAAGTGGAGCTGTATCGATGGCCTGAAGAAAGGGAAGAGAGCTGGACAGGGTGCCCAGCACCCACCCAAGACGAGGAACACAGCTGTCCCTCTGAGATCTTCATCCTTCTGTCAAGCCTCGGATGTGGGTATTGCTAGAGGATCACTAATTAAAAGAATGCATCCTATGTCCCAGCTTTTGTAATTAGACCAGCTGAGACTTTTACTTTTAATCTTAAAAGTTTTTCTCCAAGCCCCTTCCTCGAAGGGGCAAGCTTTCCCAGATTCATATCATGTAAGTCTCAAACATCATATACCGAACCGCTATTGGTCAATGCCAAGGTTATCTGTAGACCCTTCTTAGACGTCTCTCTACTCCCTTTCAGAATCAGGTGCTTTTCTTTTTAATCAAGATATAATTAACGTATTTTTTTCAGGTGTACATGATTCTATATTTGTATGCATTGCAAAATGATCAACACAGTATGTCTAGTTAACATCCATCACCGCACATAGTCACAAGTTTTTTTCTTGTGATGAGAACTTTTAAGATCCATTCTCTTAGCAACTTTCAAACATACAGCACAGTATTGTTAACTATAGTCCCATGATGTACATTACATCCCTAGGACTTATCTTTCTTACTACTGGAAATTTATACCTTTGACCGCCTTCACCCAGTTCCTTTTCTCTTTCTGTTTTTTAAGATTTTATGATCTCAAATAAATGAGATCATTCAGTATTTGTCTTTATCTGTCTGACTTATTTCACTTAGAACAATGCCTTTAAATTCCATCTAAGTTGTTGCAAATGGCAAGATTTCCTTTTTTAATGGATATATATGCATATATACACATACACACATATATGTATATACACATACAGACATGTATGTAGAAATATGCCACAATTTCTTTATCCACTTATCTATCCATGGTCACTTATGTTGCTCCATGTCCTAGTTGTTGTGAATAATGCTGCAGCCAAGTTATTCAAGTATTAAATTCTTGCTGCCCTATATCCTCACAAGCCCCACACTTCTTTCCTCATAATCTGGCTCTGCTTCCAGCACAATAAACTATTTCCCCAAAGGAACAACCTTTTGCAATCTTCCACAGCCCTCTCCTTTGATTTCTGTAACATTTGGCAAGTGTGACTCTATTTCTTGAGTTTCTCAAGTTCCCACACTCAATCCTATCCTGGTTCAAATCCTACCTCAGCACAGCTGCTCCGTCTCCTCTCTAGGTTCCTCCTGCCTCTCCTAGCTGCCTGGGAGTGTGCCGTTTCAGTCCTGGCTCCTTTGTTTCATTTGTCTCTGCCTCTCTGAAGGCACAGCTCTGTTTTGGGGAGATCACCCCCCCTTCAGAATTGCCCTCCTTGTCCAGAAGTTATATCTGGCCCTGGGGAACTGATGGTGCCCTGGACTGGTAGGAAAGACTGTGGCTCATGGGACAGTAAGCAGACAAGTTATCAGGCTCCTGGTGGCACCTCTGTCATTTCCACAGCAGGAATCTGTGACCCTCTGGGTCCTTCTAGATTTACCGCCCTCCTTACCCAGAACTGTGCTATTCTGTAGCCCGTAGGTATGTCTCTTCCTCCCTGACTCTCCTCCCACCACTTATTTTATGGAGTGGAAAGAATAATGAAATCAAGGCCAGGAACTCTGAGCTTAGCTCTAGATCTACCACCAACTAGCCTCAGTTTCTCATCAGTGAGATGTGAGGTAGGTCTGTGTCATCTCAAAGAGCCCTTTAACTCATGGCCAGGAACCTCATCACCTTACGCACTTTAGAAACAGGAAGATATCAGAGCAGACCTCCAGCAGCCCTTGGCAAAAAATGATGGAATTTGAGGTTTATGGCCTTCAAGAGAGGAGGCTGTAACATTGGAAGAGCAAGTCTATTTTGGGTGCACAAAAGCTCTAAGCATTTAGGAATTGACAGCCTAAGGTTAACCAAAGAACTGTGGGATCCCAAGAAAAGCTTACCTGCAGTTTGCTAGCAGTGGTGCACTGGGTAGAAGCAGTGAGAACAGCTGAGCAAACATAATTACAATGACTTCTGAGGTTTATAAAATAATCATTTGGGAGAAGGAAACAGCCCACATTCCAGGGTCTCTGTGGGTAGAATCTGTGCCTAAGAATTAGATCCTGGATTATATTAAAGAACAAGTGTAGTTTCAAACCTTATGCCAGTTCTTCATTTTTTTTTCAAGATAAAGTCATAAGGCAAATAATCCTTGCTTAGCTGAGCCAAATACGAATTCTTATATTCTGTCTTGCCACTGGGTTTCAGCCCCTGGCAAGTTCGCTATGGATTCAGTGTGACCAAAGAAATGACAGTAGAATGTTTCCTTGGGATGAAAGGGTTTATTACCTGTCTTGTTCTCCCGGCAGCAGGTCGAGCACTAGCGTCTCTGCCTCTGCCCAGAGCACGGGGCTGAGCTCTCTATAAGGCACAATAATAGCTTATTGCCTAAAGGTGTGGAGGTGGTAGCCTAGCAACAGGCCAGTTACATCATCAGGTGGTTTAAGTTCAGCGAGGATCCTGACAATAAGAACCCCAACTTCCACACAATGCAAAGTCAGGAACAAACCTCATTTGGAATAGTAGAAGATAGCTACAATGTTTCACATAAATTAGGAATTGATTCTCAGATAATTGGGTAGAAAGACGGAGGGAGTAGTTCAAATGACAACAAGAAGAGAGTAGGAAGGACCAAAGAGAAATTTCTGGAGCAGGGTTCGTAGATCATTAAATTGCTACTTGGCAGTAGCAATGTCTGATGTCCAATTGTTTCCTTCCTTGAGCTGCTACTAGCCTGCACTGCCTCATTATTTCTGCAAATGTCTGTAACAGGCACCAATCTATTGTCAAAGGGACTTTAGAGAAATGAAGAAAGAAAAGTGATTCCCATTGGGGAACAGAGTGGGCCTGCAAGAAAGGACAGCAGCTGCAGAAGGGACGGTTATAAACAAGAAATGGTGGGGACTTGGGAGCCAAAAAGGGAGTGAAGTTGCAGAATCAGAAGAGAGAGGAAAAATCAGTGGGAAGAGGTTTCAAAGGAGGGTAGGATTGGAATCTGTGGTATAATCCTTGACTAGTAGAAAAGATCCTCTCTCTTCCTATAATCCCTGTTTTAGCAACTGGCCCTGTAAATCTGAATCCATCCCAATTTCCAGGCTCCCAAATAGAGCACCCAATCTGGGCACAACATTTCTCAGACTTTTCCATTATTACCTGCCCCCTAGCCCTTAGTTTAAAACATGCCTGTCTTATGTCCTAGTCTCTCAAGGAGTTTCTGTGCTATGCTTTGCAGGATGTCAATCAGCAAAAAAGTAAACTATCCAAGCTACTGCCTAGGGTATGTCCAGTATGGTAGCTACAGGCTACAAGTGGCTATTGAGCACTTGTAATGTGGCTAGTCTGAATTGAGGTGTGCTTTAAGTATAAAATGCTCACCGAATAGTGAAGACTTCATATGGACAAAGTGTACAATATCTCATCAGCACTACACTGATTATGTTGAAATGTTTTGGATATATTGGTTTAAATAAAGTATATTATTGAAATTAATTTCACACATTTCTTTTTACTCTTTAAAATGTAGCCACTAGAAAATTTAAGTTGTATATGTTGCTCTCATTGTATTTCTACTGGAAAGCAATAGTCTATCTAGATTGTGGATTATCTAGAAATGGATTGTGGACTGGATGTACCAGTTACAGTGTTTACCAGACCACAAAGTGCTGAGAAGATTCTAGATCATAACACCACCCCCTCCCACTCTGGCCACTTTCTCCACCCGCTTCCTGAGAGAAAGGAATGACAGGTGATATTTCTGAATTTTGCATAACCAAAAAAATCTTTATTTTACCTTCACATTTGATTAACAGATAGTCAAATATACTTTTTCACTCAGAATTTGGAAGCATTGCTCCACTAATGGCTTGCCTGCCAATACTGGTATTTTGAAGACCAATGTTATTCTAAATTCCCAACCCTTGTGCAATTTGTTGGGGTTTTTTTGTAGCTGTTTTCCTCACTTGTGGGTTTTAGGCTCTTCTTTTCATCAGTGGTGTTCTTAGCTGTCACAGATTGTGGTTTGGTATAGGTCTTTCACATGTGTTTGTGAATGTTGGATATTTTGTGCCAGTTCAGTGTGGAAACTCATGCCCTCCCGTCACATGATCTGTTTTGGATAATTTCCTCCCTGTCATTTTTCTCTGTTCTGTTTTTTTCTCTGGATGTTGAAACTCCTTGACTGAACTTTTATTTTTGTGTTTTTTGGTTCCTGTTGTCCATTTTATTTTATAATCTGGAAAAATGTCTAGCTTTCTCTTCCAAACAATCTATTGAATGTTTCATATTCACTATATTCCCATTTTCTAATTGTTTCTTCTGAGAACATCTAGTTCTCTCAAGGATACAATATTTTCTTTCATCTTTCTGAAGATGTGAATTATAGATTCTTGTTAATTTTAAAGTTTTCTTCTGCCTTCTGAATTACTGTGTGTCTCTGAGTTGTTTTTTTTTTTTCCCTGTTTGTCTGTTTTGATAACTTTTTGATGAAGTCTTTCCTCAAATGCCTGTGGAGTTTTGACTGACTTTTCACATTTAAGAACATGGCCTGAAAGGCTAACTGAAAAGTCTGTGTGTGAAGATGGGGCTTATCAGCTGACAAGCTTTGCTGTGAGGTGATGATGGCCAACAAACAGGCTCTTTGTATCTGCGAACCCACACTTGTCAGTGCCTGAACATCATTTCTCTGGAGAAGGAACCGTCACTTTCTCTTCCAGAGGAAAGAGTGTATGTCTGACACACAGGAGGCAGGATAAGGGAAGAAGGCTGCTGCTGGTGGTGGAGTGTGTGCTGGCGGCGGGGGGGGGGTGCGCGGGGCGGGGAGGGTCCTTCTCTTTAATAGGTGGACTGACTTAATTCCCCCCTTTAAAAAAAGTTTTGCTCCATGCTCTTTTACTCTTCTGTATCTGGAATTCCCACATCTATAGCCTTTCTTTCTCAACTTCTACAAAAAGCAAACATCCAGTCTCCTTGAGAAGGCAGGTAGAGTAAGATGTGGAAGGTGAGGAATATGTGTCCCATAGCAGAGTGAGTGGAGGCCAGGGGATTGGCTCACCCTATATACACTTAGTTCTCCCTTCATGTTGTCAGCCCTCATCTCACCACCTTCTGCAACACTGTTGGGGTCTCCAAGTTACGCATCTCATGGGGCTACTTGCTCGTTCCTCTTTGATGTCCTCTGAAGGCACTGAGGTAGTAAATCTCTCTGTGCTGCTGCAGCAGCTGCCTCTCCCAGCTCACTGCCATCTCCGAGCTGCTGTTTTCTGTTCTCCAAGGCTCTTTAGCCACATACTGGAAGTTGTTCTTCAGCTTTGCCACTTTTCAAATTCTACTGTTGGAGTTTGGCTTTAGACCTGGCCTTTGAAAAGTCAAGAGGCCAAATACCTATTTCAACACAATTTCTGTTATCTCTGAACCCATGTATGATCAATGATCAGGTAATTGAGTAAGTTATCATCAGATCAAACGAGGTTAACAGTAATTCAGAACATGAACAACATAAGCCATAAAGACTTATTGTTAACATCTGAGTATTCAATTTAAAATAGGCAGCTGTAACTTGAGGTAGGAAATTTCCTGATGCACTTTATATACTGAAATTATCTCAGTTATCTAAAGTATGTACTTTCATTACTGCAAAATGATGCAATAATGATTGTAAAAAGCATTTACTTTATGCATAAGCAATTAAGAATTTTCAAAAAGTTCAATAAATGGAAATAGGTTAACAGTTAACATGAATATTAAGAGAAGATGCATTAGTCAGAGAAGTTTATGAAGTAAAATATATTCTTTAGAAACAACAAATATGAGAATTTAAATAATAATGCAAGGCAGAATAATGGAAATTTACTTATAATTCTAATTTTTATAGAAATGTTTTGATGCACAGACATTTGTAAAATTAAAAAATAACTTAAGGAATTATATTTCACTTTTGGTCATTTAATTTCATTTAAGCCATGAGTCTTTCAAGAATATGTTCTATTTGTGAATTGCTCACATCTTGTGAAAATGAGTAGGAAAAACATAGCAACTTTGTCACTTAAAATTTTTATAAGAAAGAAAAAAGTAAATTCGGAACTACAGCATGCAGAGTATATCATCTTTCACCCAATCATAATAAAGAGTAAAAAGCAAGTAAAGGAGAAATATTTCTAGTAACCAAACATGTTGTTTCTAGTAATCAAATTTCAAAACACAATTTTCAAGGCTCCTTAAGAAGATAACCCTTCATAATTTTGAGTCTATTAGAGGCCAAAAATATAAGTGGAAACAGGTCAAAATGATTGCTATGGACTGACAACGTTTTCAATAGTTGTACACAAAAGATTTTTTGTGACTTGCCTAAGCTATGAATTCTAGGTATAAAGTTCCTTCTAGAAAATTTAGACACATCAGTTTGGTGAATTTGGGTCCTGCTGGGCAAGAAATGTTATGCACAAAGGTAGTAAGAAGATTTGCATTTGTTCAAACAGCTCCTTTAACAATGACCAGCTTCTACATCCATCTTAAATCAACAAGATGAATGAGTACGTGGCAAGGCAGTTCCTGATTCCCTTGTATTCAGGTAGATCCGGTGAAGATGGACAGGAGGAGCCTGCTCTCTTCCTGGTCACTGCCAAGACCTGTGTATCTTACTCGGTGCTGTAATTACTTTCTGAAGGCTATGAGCAGAATCTCATATGCCTGTGGTTCCTGAGTCACCCATGGTCTCCATCGTAGTTGTCGCATGGTCAGTGACACTTTCATCCACTAAGTTTCCATTATATCAGTGTTTCTTCAGTGGGATTCACTGTGATTTTAGTTGTGTGAGACCCAGAGCTCTGTTGGCAGCAATAGATAGAAGCAGAGTTAACAATGATCAGCACTCATCTGGGACACACAGGACATGTCTGAGTGTCTGGTTCAAAATGTAGAATAAGCACTTTGTAAAATAAGAAAGCAGAATATAATTCAGAAAGTTTTTTTTTTCTCCACTATAGCAGGACTAAAATTCAATAGTTGCTTACAAAGAAAGTAGTTAGCACCCTGGAGTATACTGAGGAGGACACCAAACTGTAACGCTTTGAGAGGACAAGTTCCTCTTACCTGATACCTGTTGTAAAGACCCTTCTATACTTCTTTCCAGGATAGATGCTGAAATTAGAGGGCATGCAATTAAAGTTGAGGAATAGGTGGCATTCAAATATATATACGTAGCTTTCAGAGCCAATTGTGTTGATCTATCACTATACTTATAGATGAGGATTTAAGGACACATTTTTTTCAGGTGATAAACCATTAAATGGCTGCCTGCCCCCTGGAAGAAAGGAAAAAAGGAAGGCAGGCAGGCAGGCAGGCAGGCATGGGGAGGGAGGGAGGGAGTGAGGATGAAGGAAGAAAGGAAAATAAATGAGGGCAATGACATTAAGTCTGTTTCTGAAATATTTAAGCATCTTTTTCAGGAAGTGGTTTGCTTCAGTTTACATTGGTGAGATTGCATCATCACCATCAATTAAGTCTTAATGTTCAGGAATCAAAAAGGAGATAACTCTTTAAGCAGTTACTATTAGAGAGTGAAAAAGACTTGATAACTTGGTGATAATATTATAATCAGCAATATTATACTCTCATTCAACTAATAAATGGCAGAGTCAGTACTCACATAAAATATTTGGCTCTGGAGTCTATACTTTAAACCTTTAGGCTATTCTGCTTTCAGACCAGCTTTCCTATCAGTCTTCTCTTTTTCCCCACAAAATGTATGCAATTATTGATATATTTATTTTGTTGCATACATTTTATTGTTTAATTGATGGTAAAAGTAACACCTACTCATTCTTTAAGAATGTAAACAATGTAAAATGTAAACATGTGAAAAATATAAACAAATATAAACAAACATTTAGTCTATATTCCAGGACACAGTGGTAGGTCTTGTAAACAAGCATTTTCCCCTGGTTCCTTACATAAATATAATACATATATATATAGTCCACTAGAATAAATGTCCTCCTCGAAATGGGTAGGGACTATTTGTTCACTGCTGAATCTCATGCGTGAAACAGTGCCTTTACATATTTGACACTCAATAAACACTTCTTACATTAATTAACAGTTTTGAGTTGAGATAATGTAGCATTTATGGATTTACATTCCCTTTTATTCACCTATTCACATAATAAACTATTCCCCATGTGACTATTTCTCTGAAGCATTGCATGTCTGCTAATAGTTCATCGTATGGAGTCATTAGCTATTTTCCTCTAGTGGCAAAGTTAAATTTTTAAAATCTCATTGTTAATAGAAGTTCAAGGAACAGCCTTGTACATAACTTTGTCTGCATATCCATGTCTGATTTCCTCATATTCCAAAATGTAGAATTACTAGATCAATGAGCATGAATATTTTTTAAGTAGTATGATTTAGTAGCTTATAATAGTAATACTACAGTTACAACTAACATTTATTGGGGGCTACTCTGTACCAGACATTTTACTTAGAGTTTCACTCACGTTGCCTCTTTAAACTACCACAGTGACCTTACAAAATTAATTCTAACATTATTCCCTTTTTAAGATAAGAAAACAGAAGCTGAGAGTAACTATCCTGATTAGTAAGTGGTAGAGGCAGGATTGGAAACAAGGCAAGATGACCCCAAGGCCTAACTTTATCCTCAAAAGTGAAAGCTGAGGAATAAATTTGCTTGGTTTGTATCTCATGTCCATCATTTACTAGCTGTGGGATCTATGCAATCTCTTTGGCTTTGGTTTTCTATAAAATGGAATTAACAATAGTTACCTTCTTTAGTGAGGATTAAATGAAATCATGTAAATAGCACTCTTTCTAGTACTGATACATAAAAACTTAACATAAGTTAGTTACCCAATTGCTATCTTGGTATTTATGATATTCTGAATATACCTTGCATATCTTCTATAAAACCCTCACAGATTACATTTCCACCAGCACTGTGGTGAACAGATTATGTGGTTACAGATCACACTGGGTTCCAAGAGCACCAAGAAAAATAATACACCAAAGAGATGGCCTACATGAAGGAGAACCCACTTCTCATTGCCTTTTTTTTTTTAGGTTATTATGGTTTTTTGGGGGGGGTATCATTAATCTACAATTACATGAGGAACATTATGTTTACTAGACTCCCCTCATCACCAAGTCCCTCCCACATATCCCATTATAGTCACTGTCCATCAGCACAGTAAGATGCTATAGAATCACTACTTGTCTTCTCTGTATTGTACAGCCCTCCCTGTGCACCCCCACCTACATTAT